CCCCAAAACCCCAAAACCCCAAAACCCCTTTACACGACTAATGTATTGATTTCCGTAAATGAAGTGAGTCCAGTGATAGCTTATTAGGTATTTTAACCCATTTACTCTTCCTTTTGAAACAACTAATAAAATTTGTAGATAAGATCATGCTTATTCTATTGATTATGCCTTTCCTTTAATTTAAAATGTTTTGTCAACCTTTAATGAATATTCCATGATATTTTGTCAAAATCGATCAACTTCTAATCTTATCCCAGAAATATTAGAATTTGAAGAGTAAACCCCTTGTTAAAACGATTATTGCAGGCAGTTATTTTGTTCAGACAAAAGTAAACATTTTGAGAAAAATTTCTAAAAAATAAAGGACTAAATATGCAATTTTCTAATAATTTTCAATTTGTTGTGAAAATTGTATATTTTCTTTAAAGTTTTTACGCAATTTATCTTTCATTAGTGCTTTATCTGGAATAATGAAATTAAAGACTGAATTCGTTCATCTATAGACTTGAACTGTCTTCTCCAAAGTGATTCATTGATAAATTCTTGAATATTATTCTTTTTAAATCAGGAGTATTTTCAAATGTCTCTCTTGATTAAAGACCATAAAGATTCGATCTGGTTTGTTCCTCATTCGCCATATTTACTTGGTCTTCTTTCGGATTTATTAATGGCTTTATGGGCATAGTTCTCTCAAAGTCCATTGTATCCTTTCCAAGAGTCTGTGTAGATAGTTGATCCTTCTGCAACATTATCGGAGATAAACTTGAGCAGAGTTTTCTTAGATCTATCAGGCACTATAAAAGCACGGGCTTGTTTAGTATTTCTTTCAAAGAATCCCAATACCCATATTTTAGCATTTTTTTTATGTATATCGTATCCTGACTTGTGATTATTGGTTCTTGCGAATACACTTTCATCGATCTCTATCACATTTGTAGGACCTAGCTTTGTCTCCCTAGCTTGCTGAGTAATGTACTCAGATATGATCTTCCTGGTGTATTTATACAGCTTAAAGATAGTCTTGTAGTCTATTGGATAGTATTGGCATATTTCTCTCTGAGCTTCTCAAGCATTAAGGCCCTTCACGAAATATTCAAATATGATTCTTACTATTTCCATAAGAGTTTTCTTGCTAGATTTGAACAACTTTGAGCTGTTTCTGATAGATTTTTTAGAATTTCAACCTTTTATTCCTTCTCTTCCTCAGCACTTAAAGACACACTGGTCGTTGGTATAATCTTTGCAAGGAATTCTTGATCTAGGCAATCGACATGCTTCTCAGACAGAAACAGGTAAGAGAAGATTATTGCTGGTTATAGCCATAGATAAGTGTCTTCAAAGCTCTTTGTAATCCTCATAATTAATGTATCTTCTTGAAAGCTTTGCTCTACAAGCTCTCTTCGATTCTGAGTAAACTTACAAATCTTCTTTTGTCTTTTAAGCTGAAGCTTATTCACATTTACATCTTGTTTCGAACATTCAGCTTTCTCATTTGAGTGCTGTGAAGATTGAATGGCAGATGATCATTGAGTGCTGAGGTCACTGGTTCCCAATTGTGTATAATTCATCATTCAATTTACTCTCAGAAGTAGATTTCAGTAGGATAAACTCTCAAAAATTCGGATTTATGAACTATTTCAATAAATTTGAAATGAAAAGGGGTTTTGGGGTTTTGGGGTTTTGGGGTTTTGGGG